TCTCAGAGATGTCTTTCACTGCGTGCACAGTACAGCCTAAATCTGCCTCACAAACAGCTCGCCAGAAACAAAAGTTTTGTCCCTGAATTATATCACTTTAACAGTTAAAACACGCGACATTATGTCAAAATTCTGGTCTTGGTGAGTAACCTCGTAAAGACAGTCGGTAATGTCTTAAATTAGAATTAAACGCGTGTGACAGAAAGTTAATGAAACAGTAATGGATTCGCGCACTAGTTCTTAAAGTGAACGCAGCCATTTGTGTCAGTCATTAATTCTGTTGTCATAACAACAGAATATAGTATTAATCGAGAATCGAAATCGAATCGAAATTGAAATGTGAATCGATACCCAGCCCTAGTCAGCAACAGCGCGAGGAAGCCGCAGAAAATAATATCACAGAGTCACGCATTGAATCAATGCCATATTGGTCTCTAATAAGTGAAGCATCAGCTTCCGCGTTACCCATGCGACGCATTGCTGATCAGCTGAGCCTTGAAAAGTGGAACTCAAAGTTAACATCTTGTTTCATTACATCTATTTTAACGAATCAGCTTCTTTGAACGTGTTCGTTGAATGAACGGTTCAAAGTCCGTTGTCATATCAATATGCGCGCTGAGTGAAAGCCTTTCAATCATGCTTTCAATGCGCATATAGACGCTGTTTAGTTTCGGTTATTGGGTAAATGACCTCCTTTTTGTCCACATCGTAAACTTTATTTATATAGCAACAAATACTTATAAATTAAATAAATAAATAAATGGCGGTAATACCGCATATCGCGCTATTGAGCCACTCAACATTACCGCAAGGGAAATTCCATAACCGCGACAGCCCTATGAAAACACTCCCTCAGAAACACGTAGTGGGCTCAGATTGGTTAGTTTGGCCCGGTGTGTTTGTGATTGGCTAAACTGTCGCTCACGTTGTCCGGAAGATTAACGCCCATTACCTTTGGGGCGAAACGTGCACGTCATTAGCTCCGGTCCAGATGTAAATATGTGTCGAACTGCAGTATCAGTTTCAGGCATAATCAGACTGAGAAAGCCGCAATGAGAGTCAAGCAGAACCTCACCACATACTACAGCTAGGGCTGCAACGATTCGTCGACGTTGTCGACAAAAATCGATAATAGAAATAGTCGACAATGAAGTTCATTGTCGAATTGTCGCCAGACATGTTTTTTTTTTCCGACCGAGCACATTCGCTTCTCTGCTGAGCGATAACATACAGAAATGGCAGTGTCCAACGCAGCAGCTGCACATACCAAAACATCTAAAGTTTGAGAGCATTTTAGCCTGGATACGGTGAATAAAAAGGTTGCCTGTATCATGAAAAGCAGTCCTTGCTATCACGGCAGCACCTCTGTGATGTAAAATGATGATTTAAAAAGAAAGCACGTCGGACAGTTGAATAAAACGGAGTTTGACTCGCCTCGGTAAGACTTACTGTATTTTCCGCAATATAAGGCGAATTTAAAAGCCTTCAATCTCCTCAAAAAACGACAGTGTGCCTTATAATCCAGATCTTCTTATATATGGAATAATATGTAAGCGTTATTAAATTCGCTCGCGAACTCGCGCTCGTGTCCATCTTATGCCTGCTTTGTCACACGGCCAGTTCAACCTCGTATAAATCAGGTCATGTGTGTCTCCCGCTCACGAGCGCTCACTCTTAACAGACACACTGTCCCCGGCGCTACTCGGGCATCACAGAACGTTCATAAAGCGCTCCCCGTTCATAGTAACCGGGTCGTCTCACACTCTCATTCATAACAGCCAGCTGTTGCTGACGAGCCGCCGCAATATATGAGTCCAGGCTGCGAAAGTTACGTGGACGCCCCAAGCGCGCTCACACTAGCTAATAAACGCCTCACCAGCTCCGGTGCCGCGCACTACATTCCCTTTAGCACATCTAGTTGATGCATAACGCAAAATCGCAAACCCAGTCAAACGTGTGACTGCAGTATCTTATGCGCCTCATAATCCGGTGCGCCCTATATATGAAAAATGTTCTAAAATAGGTCATTCATTGAAGGTGCGCCTTAAAGTGCGGAAAATAGGGCAAATAACATGGAAGTCAATACGTTTTGTTTTGGATCACGAGTAGTAAAGTTATTTTGCAACAGATTGACCACTGAATGTATCTCACAAAATGCACTTAATATTTTTGTTTACTGTTTTATTGCTGCTAATGTGCCTGCCCCTGGTTTAGCTACAGGAAGAAAATGTTTACTTGATATTAATTTATTTTTTCTTGTAAAACAAATGTGCCTGGCCTTTATAAAAATGATAGAGTTTCTCTATTTATATATTTATGTCTATACTGACCAAGCACTCTGCCTAATTGGTTTTAGACAGGGCATTTTTTATTTACTTTTAGTATGAATCGGCCTATCAGCAGCAAAGTTCAATAAAATATGCATTTTTCATTGAAGTACCCCCTTCTTTCTTGTGTTTACTATAATTTTCCACAGAATTAAAGCAATTCATGCTAAATTTTAGAAAAATGTAATAATTATCCGATTAGTCGACTAATCGTTTCAATAGTCGGTGACTAGTCGACTATTAAAATAGTCGTTAGTTGCAGCCCTAACTACAGCTCTTACTAAACGTTTCTGAATGATAATTTGCTACATTTTTTTTAACTTTATACACGTTTATTTTACACAATAGCATCTGACTGGCAACAATAGCAACTGACGGCTACTAATGTTATACTCAAACAGCGTTGGCATGTTTACGTTGTTGATCAAATCGAAAAGAACGTCATAAAGCATATATACATGAAAAATACGTTTAAAACATTAGTACTTATAGAAAATTCAGGTCCATAATGTTTGTACGCATTTGTCGTAGACACAAAATAGCATAGGCTAACTAGTAATGGCTATAAAGCCAGCGTTGGCATTTGAAAAAAATAAAACACAAGGCTACATCTGGAATTATACATATACATTTAAAATGATGAAGTCTTAGCCTACTTACAGATTGTGGCCCAACACTGCTGCCTCTTGTTTTAAAGTCGGAACTGCTTCATGTTTTAGTAACATTTTCTTGTTGAATCCGGTGTTGAACTCGTGGAGATTCTGGGAAGCTGTCTTCCGTAAAATGCGCAGTACAGAGAGCTAGATTACGATGCAAAATGTGTGGGTTAGTGACGTACCATAACCCAGCTGTAGTCCTAATCGAGTCGTTTTTGTAGGCAATATACTTCCTGATTTTTAAAGAGACCATCTCTGCCACTGAAACTTCAGCGCTGCAACTTTGCAGATACTGTTCATGCACCAAACAGCAACATTACACACTATTTAAAATGAAATCGCAGTCAACCCCCCCTTTAATCAAATAGCCAGAGAAACCAGTGTTAACAGCCAAAAGTTTTTTTCTTCTTCTTTTTCATCAACTCATTCGTCACCATTGTGTGGCTTTAGACTATTTGTCTTGTGGACACGCGAAAACGAAAAAAAAAATTTGTATGTACATTATTATTCATAATTTATTATTTTATGCAACTTTAAATGTGTTAAATAAAATAATTCATGACTCTGGACGTTGTTTATTTTTGTAATCCGTGAGGGGAAAAAGTACTTCACATTACGTGAATAGCCTATGAAGTAGGCTGTGAAGTTCATTCCACCACTGGTTA